CTTCAGGGACTCATTGGCCAACTCCGAGGATTTTCCTTGGAAGAGTTTCTTGGAGAAGAGGAGTCGGGGAAAGTGATTCCTTGGTCTCTGCTAAGCGACGTCGAGGCCGCTGTGGAACCGGTGGACTTGATGACTGGCAAGAAAATGCGCCCGGGATCCTTGGATCGTTCCGACCAGGATTCGGGTGCAGGGGGCGGAAGCTCTGAGCCAGCGTCGTCCCACCCGTTTTGTTGTTTTTCTCGGATTTTGGCTGAGTCCGGGGCGGTTCCAGTCCTGAAAGTGTTGTATGTACCAGACTACTGCACAGAAGGGGAACGCCTGAGTAAAACCACGGAGCTGAGCAAGTTTTTAGCGCGAAGTTTGCCGGGTTTTCAGCCGAGAATCTCGTTGGAAGAACCCCCGTTTGAGGATATCGACGGGACAGGACTGCATTTTGAGCGGCAAGGCAAGGCTCGGCTTACTGGTCGGAAGCTAGCCAACGCGGTCAGGGTTGACCTGTTTACATCAGTAGCGAAGTTGTTGCGCGAACTGGTGACTCACCGCCCCGCGGTGGTGGTGGGAAGAGGCCAGGGGGCGGTCGTGGTTTTGGCTGCCTCCAAGCCCTTGATCGTTGAGGCCGTGCTGCTGGCAAGGGTTTTCCAACGGGATGAGTGCCGAGCGGTGGCAGCGGCCTGGGGAGCCGTTAAACTGGCGGTGGCGGAGGTCCCAAGGCTGAGTAGGGCGAAGCCGGGTTGGACGGTGCTTTGGGAGGCTTGTCCTGAGTTCAAGCTCTCCTCCCCTATTGAGCCGTGGCCAGTGGAAGCTGTGTTGCCCAAAGGTACTCCAAGCGTAGTGGAACTTAAGTCGGCGTGTGAAGACTTGAAGATTTCCGTTGCGGAAGCGATGGGAACTACGGCTTGGGGCCCTTGGCTGGAACGCGAAACGAAGGAAGCCTGGGAGCACAGTGGAGTCTGCGCGTGCGGACGAAGAACCGCGTTGTTCGGCCAATGTATGAAGTGCATCGCTGAAGATCTGAGTGAGGACCGTGCCTCAATAACACCCGAAGCGGGATCCGTTCCTGGCATCGAGGTGTTGGCCGGTGCCTCGACAGATGTCTCTCGTACGGAGCTCTGCCGAGGAGAGCTTCGGACTTGGCTTTCCAGTGGTGACCGAAAGAGCCTGCTGAAAGGAATGGTTCTGGTTGAGGTCCGCTGGAAGCGAGGAGAGAGGCTGTTGGTGGAGAAGCCCGACGGCTGCAGGAACCGGAGCGGTGTGACAGTGTACGCCTTGGATGGAAAGCTGCCCTTGGAGCTGTATCACGTAGTGAGTCCGGAGTGGCCGTTGGACCTCACCCAGCGGTGGCGAAGGAAACCTGGAGACCAGTTCTGGGTCCAGCATTGAATTGGACGGTCGTGGAAAGGACTTTGCACGAAATTGCCCAGTACGCGAGAGATCGTGGAGGCTTAGACGAAGCCGGCCGCGACTGCAAGGAAGCCTTGGAGAGCTTCTTCGCGTTCGCCGGCCACTATGCCCGAGGGCTTGTGGTAACTTGGGAGCAATTGCCCGAGCGTTTCCGGAAGGGACCGGAGAGCAACGTGCTATGGTTTGAAGAAAGACCGGAAGGTGGTTGGACTTGGAAGTTTGAGAAGGTCGGCCCAGGGCATCAACCGAGAATTGAAGGAAGAATTTATCTGGTGCTGGGGGCGGAAACGCGCGACCGAGACCGACTGTTGTTGGTCCCCGGGTCGCCGCCTATCCCTTATAGTTTCCAGAAAGAAGGAGCAGCTCCGAGGGACTCGAGAGGGTATCCCTCCGAGTCCTCGGACGCTGGAGAAAAGGCAGTTAGGGTTCCGGAGCGTTGGCTGGAAGATGCGGCCCGCGAGCGAGAAAGGACGCGGGGCGAACTGCAGGACCAGACAGACTTCAAAGTGGGAGTCGACCTCCGGGTGACTTGGGCTGCTGAGCAGAAGAAAGACCAAGCCCTCGTTCCTCTGATAGCTGGTTGTCGTGAAAAGGACCGGGAGATCGTCGAGCGTTTTCAAATCGGAGATGACGGAGTGCTGGAACGCCTCGTTAAAATCGATGAATGGGAAGTGGCTCGATGGGTTCCCGTGGTTCCTAACGGCAAGGCTTGTGGGGATATGACTTGGAAGGAGTTTTGCTTCCGGCAGGCGCACGTTGGACTTATGGGAGGGCACAAGAATTGCCGTGACACCCAGCGAGCGCTAAAACGGATCTGCTGGTGGCAAGACATGATGAAGGAGATTGAAGTGATGGTGAACGAGTGCCTCACTTGCGCAAAAGGGCGGAAGAGACCAACGAAGCAGGAGAGCGTAAGCGTGAAGCCGACGAACCTAGAATGCTGGGAGGAAGTGATGGTGGACTTCGAAGGGCCAATGCTGCCTGCGGACGCAGCAGGGAACCGATATGTTCTCTCGTATGTGGACATGGTTTCCCACAGTGTTCTCTTTGAGCCGTGCCGGGACCTTACCAGGCAGGAAGTTCGTCGAGCGTTTTCGAAGCTGATGTTTCGATCCCGCACGGCGCCCCGGGTTCTGAGATCGGATCGGGGACAGGAATTCGGAAGCGTTGTCTTTCAGGAGTACTGTGCCGTGGTTGGGATTCAGCAGAAGTTTGCGGCCCCTCTTCGTCCGGTTGAAATGGGAGCTTGCGAGCGGCTTCACCAAGAATCGCAGAAGCTGCTCGGGGTTTTGCTTCATGATGTGTGTGGGGCTTATCCGCACGAATGGAGCGAACTCCTCCCCGTGGTAGAATTTCTTCTGGCCACGACGCCCACGCAAGCGGGAATAGCTCCGCGTGACCTGGAAAGAGCTTGGTCCATGGCGATTCCTTTGGAACGGGACCTGGAGCCTTTTACCGTACCTGAATGGGAACCCGTGTCAGAGTACGCGGCTCGACTGTTCAGGCGATATAGGGAGCTCCGGGTGAAGGTCCTGAACCACCGAGCCGAGGAGTCTGCTAAGCGAGCCTCCCTGCTCAACCGCTACAGGGTGTCCAAGCAGCTCGCGGTGGGTGACGTGGTGGTCCTTCGTGACCCCCGCACCACCTGAGCTGGGGGGCGGACTCCTTGGCGTAAGCAGTTGACCGGGCCCTACACGGTGGTACAAATTTCGCCTAGCGGGAATAAGCTGGAGTTGAAAGACGAAGCTACCGGTAAGATCCAGGAAGCTCATGTGGAAAACGTGGTGCTTCTTCCTCTGTTAAATGTCGGGGTTCACTAAACGTTCTTATCCCAAAGCACTGCGGCACACTTT